CTGATGCAAACATTATTGTTTGAGTTTAAAAAAAGAATACATCAAAAATAAATATTTTAATAATTTATTTTTCAATTCTATCATATTTATTGTTTTAATTTTATCTTTAACATCTTTCACCAGCAATTATTTGTCAATCACCTTTATAATAGTCAACATTTCGAAATATATTTCTAACGCAGCTAAACTTTAAATCTATTTCGCCAATGAAATTTATAAATTTTTGATTTTTAATTCGATATTTCAGATTATGACCAGTTCAAAGGGGATCTCAAAACTGTACCAAAAAAAGTGCCAATTTCTCTCTATGTGAAATTGGACTGCACAGATGTACCCGAAAGCGTCCCAAATTGGATTTTTGACTGGAGGAGGGGACCTACTGTACGTAATTTTCGTCTTGTTAATATTTTATATACTTTTCATTGTCTTCAAGTTTATTGAAATGAATGAATGTATTAATCAATTAATCAAGCATTCAATCAATCAATCAAACAAACAAACAAACTGTCAATCAAGCAATGAATGAATGAATCAATCAATCAATCAGTCAGTCAATCTATCAATTAATCGACCAACCAACCAACCAAACAAACGATCAATGACCCAATGAATCAATCAATCAATCAATCAATCAATCAGACATTCAATCAATCAAACAATCAAGGTCAATCAATCGATCAATCAGTTAACCATCCATCAATCAATCAATCAATCAATCGTTCGATCAATCAAACAATCTAAAAGAAAAATGTGATAAGAATAGGCAGAAGTTTGTTGTTTTTTTTGTTTTCTTTTTCAGTGTATATTGCATTTCAAATTAATCTTAAAGTGATATTATTCCCATCCAAGTCTAAATGGTCAGCGAACATGTAAAGATAAAAAAATAAATAAATATTTTGCCATTATTGTGTTCAATTTTGTATGTACTATGAAAAATAATCAATATTCCACGTGACTAATGAAAATATCGTTTATATTAGAATGTACCAGTAAGGTTCAATTCTTAAAAAGAGACGGGCAGTCTTTTTTTATAATCTAACCTTTTTTTGAAATCGCATCATACCCATTTTTGATTATCAATTACTGGTCAGTCAGCCTTATGATGACCATTTTGAAATATATTATTGATTCATCTCCACTTGACAACGAAAAAAATGTCACTTTAAGATTTTTAGCTCACCTGTCACAAAGTGACAGGGTGAGCTTTTGTGATCGCGTTTCGTCCGGCGTCCGTCCGTCCGTCGTCCATCCGTCCGTCCGTAAAATTTTACTTTAAATGACATCTCCTCATAAACCACTAAGCCAATTTCATCCAAACTTCACAGGAATGTTCCCTTGGTGGTCACCTTTAAAATTGTTCAAAGAATTTAATTCCATGCAGAACTGAAAAAAACTTTAAATATCTTCTTTTAAAAAAAACCCAAAGAGCTAGAGCTTAGATATTTGGCATGAAACATATTCTAGTGAGTGTCTACCAAGTTTGTTCAAATTAAAGCCCTGGGGTCAAAATTGGCCCCGCCCCAGGGGGTCATTGATTTTCCCTATATGCATATAGTAAAAACTTAAAAAATCTTCTTTTAAAGAACTTAAAGAGCTAGAGCTAAGATATTTAGCATGAAACATGTTCTAATGGGTGTCTACAAAGTTTGTTCAAATAAAAGCACTGGGGTCAAAATTGGCTCCGTCCCGGGGGTCATTGATTTTCCTTATATGTTTATAGCAAAAACTTCAAAAATCTTCTTTGAAAAAACCCAAATAGCTAGAGTTTAGATATTAAGCATTAAACATCTTCTAGTGAGTGTCTACAAAGTTTGTTCAAATAAAAGCCCTGGAGCCAAAAATGGCCCCGCCCCGGGGTGTCATTGTTTTTAACCATATGTGTATAGTAAAAACTTAAAAAATCTTCTAGAGCTTAGATATTTAGCATGAAACATGTTCTAATGGGTGTCTACAAAGTTTGTTCAAATAAAAGCACTGGGGTCAAAATTGGCTCCGTCCCGGGGGTCATTGATTTTCCTTATATGTTTATAGCAAAAACTTCAAAAATCTTCTTTGAAAAAACCCAAATAGCTAGAGTTTAGATATTAAGCATTAAACATCTTCTAGTGAGTGTCTACAAAGTTTGTTCAAATAAAAGCCCTGGAGCCAAAAATGGCCCCGCCCCGGGGTGTCATTGTTTTTAACCATATGTGTATAGTAAAAACTTAAAAAATCTTCTAGAGCTTAGATATTTAGCATGAAACATCATCTTATGGGTGTCTACCAAGTTTGTTCAAATAAAAGCCCTTGGGTTAAAATTGGCCCTGCCGGGGGGGGGGGGGTAGGAGGCTGAGAGCAGGTCATTGTTTATCATTATATGTGTGTAGTAAAAACTTAACATCATGAAACATCTTCTAATGGGTGTCTTCCAAGTTTGTTCAAATAAAAGCCCTGGTGTTTAAACTGGCGTGCTCCGGGAGCCTATATACAGTTGAGCGACCTCAGGCCATCATGGCCCTCTTGTTTTAAAGCTCTTATTACGTTTTTTTAAAAGGCAGATCTAGTTTTAAGTTTTTATCAAGAATGTTAAGTGACATGATAATCATTTCAGCTGAATTTTGACACAAGTTAATCAACTTATATACACAATTTCGTTCGCTTGCTGGTATAAAACATCATGCCATTCTTAATACTAGACATGTTATCGATAAAGGTCACAGCTAAAAAAAAGAGCAGAACAAAAAAAGTTATGTTGAATTATTTTATGGAGCTAACAAATTATAGGATGGCTGGTGGTTCTACCCTAGCTTTGGGTGTACATCTTTATATTATCTCCCTTTAATAAATCAAAGTAACCTTAACTGACTTTTACGTCCAATCCGTCACGCTAAATAATTAAATAACGCAAAAATATAAATAGCTATACATTTTCTAACTACTGTCTTTGCTAAAGAATATCAATAATTATATTTCGTTTTTTTCGACAGCAAACTGAAAGAGATCCAATAAAATTTGTGGATTTTAGCAAACCAAATGAAAGAATATTGATCGACAAAGAAGGTAAGTTTTTCTTAGTAATATATTGTTTTGTTTTGTATTTTAAATTTTAGATTTGACTTTTTTATACAAATAATATAAAAATTACCTCAGACAAATTTAAACAATCATTTTTGACGTTTTGCATTACGCGTTTGTGATTACAAATACTTCGGCATATTCATTTAATGAGTTTCTAACAGGCACAAATCCTTTAACTTGCTAGAATATAAACTGTCCTTTCCAGGACAGAAGAGAATGTAGAATCGAAATTCTTAATTTTTTTATTTCTCCGTACGATTACATGCGTACCAATTTCCCCTTAGAAAAGGATTATCTAATAGCAAACAAAAATAATTATATAAATAAATTCATAACTAAATCTTTCACAAATAAAATATCATTCGATACTTCAGTGCTTTGATTTTTTCCTAGGTGGTATCCATTTCCTGTGGACTGTCGCTACCGACAACTTTTTTTACGGCTGTATTACAACACACAGCGTGTTTCTCGTGACACTAAGAAGTTCCACCGTAAATGAGCTGATCGTGCAACAAGGTAGGATCTAAACTATGGTGTTCTTTTAGGATCGTTGTTGATTCACAATTTTGAAATAATTATATTTAATAACAATTACTCGCCTTCACGAGTTATGAATTACAATTTCTGGCCTTCATTGGTTAAAAATCTGGTTTTACCTTTTACAACATGTAAAATATGTATAAAAATCATCATTACAGTTTGAAAATTGAGTATTAAAATTAACATATTTAATAAGTTGCACCATACATATACATACATATACATGAATACGCCGGGAAAAAAATCTTGTGAGGAAGGAGACTTATAGGCCCGTAGGGCCGGGCATTACTATTATTATAATTATGTATATAGTTTTGTAATTATTGTCAAAATACAAATCACAATAATAAATGATTATCTTATCTTAGAGCTTATATAATAAAATGTAATTAAGTTCACCGTCAAGTTATTAATGTCATAACGTCCAGTAGTGTATTGAAACTATGGCGGCACCACTAGTCTGACAATACTTTTTTCTATAATTTGATAAATTCTAGACATCTACAAGAATGATTCTTAGTAAGCTTAGTAAGCTTCAAGGTATGCACAAGTGTGCAAAATAAGATTTATCAATTACAGTAATTGAGAGTCAAAGGGCAGTAATATTCGCATTAGGTATATTTCAAAGAAACTTCCACAAAATGGATTTGTCTCCCTTTGTTTGCAAGAATATTTACTTGATCGTTTTAGGAACGCAACATGAGCGAGCACCGGAGCTGAAATATGCGTCTAAAGAAGTTGTGGTATATGCACAAAAGGATGCGGAATTGATGTGTATCTTTTCATACTTTTCGCCGACGTAAGATGATATTTTATAGATATGGAAAACAATACAAAATAATTATATAAATTTGATAATTAAAGTTAACAAGCCTCAAAAAACATACAGTTAGATTAACATGTAAGAGAAGACACGTGATTTTAGCCAATCTAAACATGTGATAACTTAGGTGACCTGGACAGGACTCCATACACCGGTAATATAAGTTGAGAAAATGTGCGGAAGAAGTCCTTGAAAATTTAAGCACTAAAAATGGTATTCATGTTTCTAATATTATTGTCCAAAGAAGAATCGCCTTATCTGCGTGCGTATTCCATGCGGGGATAGTAATCATGTACCATCGGGATATTAATTTCTCATTTTCCCTTTGAAGTCGACGCAATAACCATACCATCTGATGAAACAGTCATTGCCGCATTGTGCGGGGGTGTAACGGGCTGTTTCAATTATCTAGACTTGTCTGACCTCTAATGTGTACTTATGTAACCACGTTTAATCTGTTCTTATAAATTTTAGCAGTAAAGTTTATATAAACATACGAAAAAGTTCATCTGGACCCTACTGACTGAAAATTTTGACATTGAAGATCTTCTTTAAGTATTAAATATCAATTTTCATAAAAAAAACCAACTGTACTGACTACATTTCTTTCAGTCTGTGCCTTGCTTGTACGCGTGATAATATCATGAATTTGGGACTTTATTTCTCGGGTTGTAACAGTCTCATGACGTACAGGACGGGCGTTATCCTGTTTCTGCCACGCTTAACTTTCAACAGCGGCATGTGAGGGATAATGTTCCCTATGTTTGCTACTTAATCAGTAGAGATATCAAGCTATCTGACGAAATGTTGGTTGTTCTACTTTGATGCCCGCTCCTGTCTAAAATACTGCACGGAGAGGCAACTGCGGTCTTTCTCCACCAGGAAAGCTGAAAAGTCGTCATATAACCTCAACTCTGCTGGTGTCACGTAAACCCACATCCCCAAAAGAAAATCAGTATAGATTACCTTTTAAGGATAATATTAATGCGCTGCTCTTAAAGAGATTATTTCCTATTTGCATATCAAAATCACTTCCCTCTTTCACTTTAGAGTGCTATCTTTTCGGTATCAACTACCCAACTGGCACCATTCGTTTGATACACTTATATAATTGGGGAAAAGTAGGACAGACTGAAAAAACGGACATGCTTGCTTTACTCCTTTAATACATTGCACAACCCCTACAAAACTGCAATCGTACATAAGAATGAGTCATATATATATACTAATATACCTAATACTTTATTTGAGGACCGTTTTTTTTTTAATTCCTTATACAAAAATTATATTTTTGTTTGAATGGTATTACATTGTTTATGTGTTTAACATCTTTTCCAGTGAGAAACTAGTGATCAAATGGTTGCACAATGGTGAGGCAGTGGGATCTAACAGTCCTAATATCACGTTGAAAGCTGTATCGTTACCTAATGCGCAGCGTGATGACTCGGGAGAATATCGTTGTGAGGCATATCTTGGAACTAAAACTGCATTCGGAACTGTCAACCTCAAAATTGTCTGTAAGTGTTTTCTTTGTTTTGATCTTAAAAATAAATTGAACGCTTTTTACAAAAAAGTACGAATTTTATAACATAAAAGGTTTATCATACCCGAAAAATGCCTTAAATTTTGGTTCACAAAAACGTTGTAGCTTTGGTGTCCAGTTTCAGTTTCCAAAAAGTTACTCATTAGCAAAATTATCTGAATAATATTTGCTTCTGTTGCTTTTTGACGATTTTTAAACATAGTGACAGTATTTTTATAAAAGTAAAAAATCTGCTTTGTTTACATTTAGTTTCTATTTATGGCAAATAATTTCATATTATCAGTTGATAAGCATGTTACAGCCTATGAAACCATTATTCAGACGTTGAGCAACCAATAGCTGCCCTATTATAGAAGGGAAACATGTTTTGTACCTAAAGCATAAAGTGCTTTTAAGAATCAAAAATTAACTATTCAACCGTCACTTTGTTGTTAACAAAATAGTTTTAAATATTATTTCAATCGCTTTTTTCCTCATGACAATGAGCATAAATCTGGGACTGAACTATCTAAATGCTCCATGTAGTACATTAAGTACACATTATCTTCTCACTAGGGAGAACAATGGAAAAATTACCCAAGTATTGCTTGTTCTATCCTGGGACGATGCGATATTTCTCTGTGACAATGGTTTCGAACATTGTGTCGAAATATCTCTTGACCGTCCCGGGTTCAGAATCATGTGAAATTCGTACCCAGTCACTTGCGGAGAAATTGGTGGTTACTGGCTTGTTTTTCAGCCAGATAAGATTGATCGACCTTCGTGATATGATCACCCAAACTCCGTTCCCCCACTCCAGCACACATTCGAAAAAAAAATGTGAGAAACGATAAGCAAATAAGTAGTTCCAATTATATTTGATAGCATATCTTCTAGGTAAATATCTACAAATATAAGCCACCAGAAGATAATGACAATTCAAAAGTTTTAAACAATTCAATTCTATAATATTTTACAGCACCGCCGACGTTTCTTCCGGGAAAGTCGTTAGGGTCGAATTCATTTCCTGTCGGGAAGGACGCCGTGTTTCAATGTGGGACATCTTCGTATAAAACTTACAGTTTCCCAACAGTTTGGTTTGTAAACGGAGAACCTCTCATAGGTAACTGAAAAAGTTTTGTTTTTTCTTCACAAAGAATAATGTACATTAAAGTGAATTGATCGAGCAATGTGCACATTTGCCAAAGGTGTTTTCAAACATCCATTAAAGCAAATAAAAATGTCCCTATCGGATATTTGTAACAACATATGAAACATTTTTGAGAAAAAAACATGTTGATAATTTTTAAAGTGATCTAAATATGAAAATTTATATAAATAGTATTTATAAGTTGTTCTAGAACAATTAATTGTCTGCTATATATAGATATGTCATATCGGGTCAGCTATCTCGTACTGCCTACGTGGTCGAGGGGTAAGATCCCCGGGAGATGCTTTGTTAGTTTAGCACGGAGGAATGTAGTCTAGTACTGGTGTAACTCCCCAGGAACAATGGTTAGGAAACTACCCGCCTATATGACTGAAATACTGTTGGGGAAAAAGGCGTAAAATGAAACCAATAAACAAACAAACAAACAAATTCTCATACTGAGCAACAACGGTTATATATAATTATTTCGAGGTGTGTTTTCACCTATGATCCTAAATGCTATCAGCTTAATTATTACATTGCAGACAATCCGGTATAGACCAATTCACTTTAACAATCAGTGTGGTATTGAATTGGCATATTTTATTGACATTTGACACATCATATAAAGACTAAGTATGTGATCTGAAATAAGAAAATATCCCTGTCATCTTGCCGCTTTCCAAATTAAATGATTATGATTTAAACGTATAGATCCGTATGGAAAAGGTCGAGGTTTGTCTAGCATTGGTGATAAGTTCTTCTTGCATATCAGACTGGCCTTTCTACGGAATGCCGTTAGGGCCATCGCCTATGAATGGTTTGATCTGAAACGCGATACTCGACAGTACGATGATGAAAACGCGAAATCACGAAACTACGATGGTGAAAACGCGACAGTACGATGGTGAAAACACGATAGTACTGTCGCGATTTCATCATCGTACTATCGCGTTTTCATCATCGTGCTTTCGCGTTTTCACCATCGTAGTTTCGTGATTTCGCGTGTTCACCATCGTACTATCGACTATCGCGTTTTAGATCAACACATTCATAGGCGATGGCCCTAACGGCATTCCGTACGTTTCCGTTAGTTTTACCCATGCCGGAAATTTCATCTGGGGGGGGGGGGGTTCCAGATGAGTCGCGTGCTGTACAATGGCACGATCAAGATGACGTCATTTTACCGTTATGAATGATTTTGTAATTAATACGATGTTGAATGAAAGTAGTTACGGTTGTAATGATATAAATTTTCATTGAAAATAAAGATAAAGAATTTAAAATATAATGGAATATGGTAGAATATATGCAAGAAAAAATATCTGACATATGTTTGCGGTTCGGATCGGAATATCCGTCCCGAGGTGACCCGCCCATTGGGCGGTAACGAGGCTTGCCGATATTATTAGTCTTTAACGTTTTCGTGTCAATTTCAGGATGCCCAGAGCGTGAGTTTGAATGTAAGACACCGCTGCCAAACGGATATTCAAGATGTATATCGAGTGAAAAAGTTTGCGACGGTAGCCCAGATTGTCCCGATGGAGAGGAAGAAGTTGGTTGCCCAGGTACTGCTTTGTTGTTTCTTTTAAATCTTTCGAAATATAGTAAGTCATGATACGGTCGGAGTCCGTAATGATTTTTTTGAAAAGAAGAGGAAAATCAAAATATTTGAATTTTTGAAATACAGGAATTGTAGGGTTTCACTTCAATTATGATAGTTGCTTTCGAAAATGAGGAAAAATAATCTTACCCAAGCTTGTCCTGCATGATCAGATATGAAAAGTTACACTTAAACATGATGGCGACTTACCCTTTAAGTAAAGAAATGTTTGACAATTTATCATGTTATCAATTATGCATTTTTGCATTAAAATCTATATGTATGATAATTAATAATAATATTAATAATAATAATAATAATAATGATGAATAATGATTAATTATTTTTTCATGAATTCAGTGCTATGGTATATTTCAGTCACGTGCCCGGAGTCTCAAGTAAGTTGTTTAGGTCAATGTATACCAAGCACGTCGATCTGCCAGGAATGTGTGTACCCAAGCTTTCTGTGTCACAATAAAATGAAGTGTGTACAAGCTTCCTATATCTGTAACGGAAATATGGATTGCCCGGATGGCTCAGACGAAATTGCATGCCGTATGTAACAGACTTATCAAATTCTCCTTTCGCCTTTTAAAGCTATGTCATTTCGCCTTTAACTCATCTTTCTCTTTTTTTCCTTGTAATTCGCTATCCCTCTCCTCTTGTCTATAAACCACATAGGAGGATGCGCTTCTTGAAATAAAGACGCTATTTTTAATTATAGGTAAATGTAAATGTTCTTTATTTTATCAATTATACTGACTTGTTCAAGATTCTCGAATATTTCTGATTTTTCCCTCAGCTGTTCACTTCTTTTTTATAGCTAGCATGTATATATCTGTATTCTTGCAGCAAATGGACCAGATGTCAGAAGAGGGGAATATATTATAAAATCGGATAGGTCGCAGTTAGTTTTGCAGAATCTAACACTAGATCAATCAAGATGTTTTCAGTGTATGTCAAGAAACGAATATGGTACGACAATAGGGGATGGCTGTCTGACAGTAATAGGTGAGTTGTCTCCCTTGAATCAATTTTACGCACGTTGAAACGAAGTTATAATATATGTAGTATTTCTTTTCTCTTTGGTATTACATACATTATTTTACTTCAATACCTTTTTATATGTTTAATTAGATAAGCGTAAATTGTATGAACTAATTTATGAAGAATATATTCACGTTATGCTATGCAAGTTAAAGTACCATTGTATCATGGTTTATAAATAAGAATATAAAGTCACAGCGTCTTTCAAAAAACTGAATAATTGTATGAAATAGGTGTATGTCAGGTCTAATATGGTTCATCTTATACGAAGTTATAAATTTGGTACTTTTGAACACATATTTTCGCTTTACAGTGTTTGTAATCAGTATGGATGTTTTACCGTCATGTCCGACAATGTCCGCCAATCTCCGGTGCATAGTTGGTTAATGCATATACTTATATATACTTCAGACAAAATCACCGTCATAAATGGACCAAACAGTACATACTATGTTGAGCCAGGATCAAGAATTGGTATAACACTAGAAGTAACGACAGACCCAAAGTGGGAGAATCAGATGCATTATACGTGGACCTGGTACGAACAGATAGTGGATGAAAATACTGGAGAGACCACTACAGGTAAAATTAATCGCCCCCAATTCATTTCATTAAAAAACTACTTTTTATGTAATGGGACGTTTATCTCATGGACATTTTATATTGCCATGTCCAGCTTATCTTTTTAGAACCAACACCTGTCATATACGAACTTCGGATTTTTAGATAAAAATGAAGATTTGTTCAGACAACATTATAAAGTATTGCCAGAATAAACGAATGATCAGACGTGACGTGCTATGAACTTATGACAAAGACAAACTACTTTTAGTTGCCGCAGGTTGAAGGAAAATGTTGTCGAAACTTGCAATTGTGCATAGATATTCAGAGTATTAACGGTGTGTTTATGTCAATAAACAACGCTGTTGATTTTACTCCCTCCGATACAATTAAATAAATAACATAAAACAAAACAACAAAGAAACACACATTTTCCAGAAGCAATATTTCAGACATATGCGTCTTTGGGATGAATATTCCATACCATAATGCGATCACATCACAGTTGCCTTCAACTTTATCCAGCCATTTGTAATTATGTTATGGTGGACACCTTATAAACCTAGAGCATTGTTTTTTATGCAACTGGTTAAACTCAAATGCAAACAATTTTTAATATTGTTTATCTTCTCGGATGCGCAATATGCCTGAAATAATGCAAGATATGTTACGGATTTTCACATGAGTTCTTCGGCTGCTAATTAAATATAGAAAGTCGTTATATGCTGTTTAAAATTCGGTGTGACCTGAAACAAAAGAAAAATAAACAAACGCTTTGTTAAAAATGTTTCAAAAGTCATAATCCTTATTTTATATATTTTTTAGTTTCCAAATATCTGCCGACAAAAGACAAGGCTTTTCCCGGTGTTTTCACTATGACTCAAGAAAATAGAACCATAGCGTTCTTGTTCCCGGAAGTAAGGAAAGGTGAAAGAAAGAACAAGGGAAAAATGCTCTCCCCTTTTTTAATCAGCTTATCAACCCGGTTTATACACAGTGAATATTGAACACAGATACGATAAAGTACAGATAAACTTTACAATAAATGGGAAAAGAATTGTACCACCACCAGGTATGTAGTATCAATAATTAGTACGCAATCACTTACATTTTTACAAGAACTTCAAAACCGATGCACTTGGTAAAGATGTCTTAAATATTTTAATATGAACCATAAATCTTGAGCAATTTGTTATGTTTACATTGCATAAGGTTGCCACCAGGAATCTTCATTTTCAACACTTGTTACAAATTGCATAATGTCTAGATATAGAACACATTAAAAAAAAATTAACACCGAAAAGCCACATTGGCGACTCCTCTAAGAGATTGCAGCAACATCAAAATGGGAGTTCTATAGAGCTATGAAAACAAATCAAATAACTTAACTTTTAATAATTTTGATGGTATTATTGCTCCGTGCCCACAGGCGCGGAGCTATTTGTGTTTACTATTTTTTTTGTCCATGGGCCCGGATTTGAGCAATAAATCCTTTCGATTAACAGCTAAAAGTAAATCCGCATTCAAGAACTCCTTTCGATTTCTATATTGGTTTCCCCGTCGATGATTCGCAGCATGTCATATTAATGAATGAGAACCGGAAAGCAGTTCTGATGTACATAAATTCGAAAGCTATAAATAGCTATAAATGTTTTGATTTTTGACACTTAGGTTATAAATTTGTTATTTCCCTTTTTTAGTAGTACATGAAATTATAATTTGTTACATTTTGAAATACATTTACACACAGCATATCAAGTACATGATGTATACTATTAGTGATTGAATTTGTCAATATAAAGAAGATTTCAGGCAAAAGATTTTAACAATTTTGCTTTTGATAATTATTTTTAATTTATATTTATGAAATTAAATGTTTAATAATAACATGTTGATATATTGGTTGTTTTGAAATAATTTAACTTTAGTATATAAGGTTACATTTCATTAGCGTCATTGGTATGCTTGTGATAATGGTATGACTGGTGACATGATTGGGGGGTCCGTACTCGACAGCGAAAGCTGCATTTTGTAGCCTTAAGAGCGGATGGACCCTCATTAAGGTGATTCCGCTTTGTCAGCCAAGTCTGTTTTCACAAAGTCTGTGCAAAGTGAAAGTAGGCCAAAATTCATATAACAACAAAGCTCACATTGTTATATGATGAGCCATTTGCAAGTACACTTCCAATTCTATGTTTTAAATACTATTTTAATCAAAAATAAAAATGATAACAATAAGAAATTTACCTTGAATGGGCTACATTTCTGAAGACCAAAAACATTCTGTTGCAAATCTTTATGCACATTTCATGAATGGCAAAATCCAGTTTAAAGTCTATTTTAGTGCAAACAAATGCTATTTTTTGCAGAAAATACAAAAAACTTTAAAAAACATAAATCTTAGGAAAGTAGTTTATCTGACCTTGAAAAAACATGGCCTCCATGACATGTGTAAAAAAGTAGTACCATGAAAATAAACATCATTTACCTATTTCTTGTGTACATGACAAACAGACACACTTCACTGTTACACAGAAAAAGGTTAGATTTTAAAGTTGATTGTGTTTTCATTTTAATTGTAGTTCATAAGGCTATAAATGATGATTGTTTTCTTGCACTACATGTACTTTTTTACAAGAAATAATGGAGGCCATGTGCTTAGAAGGACATGAGATACTGATTTATTTGGAGTTAAGTTTTGAAAGATTTTTGTATTTGTTGCAAAAAATAGCTTCTGTTGGCACTAAAACAGACTTTTAAAAGGATTTTGCCATTCATGAAATGTGCATAAAACTTTGCAACAGAATGTTTTTGGTCTTCAGAAATGTAGCACATTCAAGGTAAAATATTCTTATTGTTATCATTTTTGTTTGTTTGTTTATAATTGTCCTTAAAATATAAACCTGGAAGTGTATTTTCATATGGTTCATCATTTTACAATAAGAGCTTTGTTGTTATATGAATTTTGGCCTACTTTCACTTTGGACAGACTTTAGTTAAAACAAACATGGCTGACAAAGCGGAATCACCTTAAGCATAGGCTATAGATAGATATCATGACAACAACAGAAACTTTGACATGAAGTGTAATGTTTTTTTAATGATGGTTTTAAAGCAATTCATCAAAAATATATATTGATCTCCCTAAAAATTAATTAACAATAGTTTTTTTATATATATCCAATGTCAAATAGCTTTCATATCTTTGTCTCGCACGAATATGATATTAGTGAATTTCCTCATACCTACCTAAAATTCAGGTAACAGTCTTCTATTATATTGATAAATACTGTATCACCATGTAACGCGTGTATAACAAACAAACAAAATCCTGAATTTGGTCTTTTGGAAATTCATCCCATTTTTTCATTCCAGAGTGTGTTCTACTTTCAGTATTGAAAGAAACCATTTTTTTTTAATTTGACATGAAAAATATGCATGTAATATTACTATATTATAATATTAGTCCCTTTTGTTACTATTTGTATATTTGTTACAATTATAACAGACTTTGATATTTCTATCATCTATCTTCTGTTACTGAAACAGAACACAGTACAGTCATGTCACATAACATTTACAAGTCTTGTAAGTCTTGTTTGTATTCAATGGAATTACTTTCCTTACCAGGTAGGCATCAGTGAAAGCATTTTTTTATATTAAATATTTTCCCCCTCTTTTTAATTATGGACAGTGCATAAGATAAGTATAATTATGGAAAATATGGTTTACAAAACATTCGGAAAAAATCTACAATATTACTTAATCTGAATATAACATGACCTGTGCGTAGGAATAATTTGGTAAGGTATCTGTAATGAGCACATTTTTTTGCGCGGAGCTTCTCAATTGCTGCATTGCAGCAACTTTTGTACTTGTAAGTTATCTAGAGATCCCCTGATAAAGACGTTATAATCAGTTGCTTGCTTTACAAGCTAGGATACAGCGGACCATGGCTTCATTTCTTATCAGACCTACTACAGTGTAGCAAGTTTTGTTGAAGTTGTGCCAATAGAAAACATTTGACTCCTAGATTTGTAATAAGAACGTGTTAATCATATTCAATGATTATCGTGCCATTAACTCTGTTGATGATCTATTAGTATTATAAGCATTGTTTTTTCCTGTCCGCGGATTTCCTTTCTTACCAAAATAATGCCGCAATGATATAAAACAAATGTGCCAGATATATTGATTGTTTGCACTATAATTTTATATAATTATTTCATCTATCGTGTCATAGATAACCTTCATAAACTAAATAGATAAAAGTTTGATATTTTTTCTCTTTGTTTCAGTTCCTATTGTTGAGGCTGCATCAACAAATCTATGGTTTATAGCTCTTATCCTTGGTATATTGCTTCTCTTCATCATAGTGGCTTTGATCATTTGTTATATGTACAGGAACAGAGGCGGCACCTATTTGTGTAAGTACAATCTGATCAAATAACTTCAAGGAAAACTATTTAATCTCCTAACTAAAATGTTATTTGTAGTCAATTATTGAATAATTATGAGTATGAGATGCAAAATAAGTCGAAATAGAGCTGTGCTCAATTAATCGATCGCTCGTTGTTCATCTGTGATTACATGTAAGTGAATATAACTTTATATACTAAGTACGAGTGTAGGTTTGTGAAAATGTTTCCATCTACAAAATACGTTTCAAAAACACTTGAGCCCAAGGATACAAGCACGTAGACAGAATAACAATAAACTGGGAGAAAATAAACGTTCATACAGTGCTAAAGTATAAATACCCAAGTTCTTCGGCGTATCATCAGGGGTATATTACATGTATAATATGACATAATACAGCACAGAATCTCTATATGTGTGTACTATATAAAACCGTTATTGAATAGTCATTGTTGTTATACTTTACAAAAGAATAAAATAGCCTGCGGACAATATGGTGAAAAGTAGATTAAATATCGAATCTAAGGGAATAAAAAATTATAACAAATATTAAAACTACATGTATAAAGGCGTTTTATGCTTATGCACCTAAAATAAAATGTCAGAAATTGCAAATTTCATCAAGTAGAAATTAAATGCTTTAAATACAAATGACAAAAGATCAATGCTCCCAGGCACCTGGAAAGAGTGGCCTCCCGGGCACCGCCTGATTATTTAAGGAAGTTTTAAGTAATATGTCAGATGTGGGCGAGAATTTGTGTTAAAATCAGTCTCCTTTGACTCAAGCTTAAGTACGAGTGTTTATGTTGGCTGAAGTACGAATGTATATGTTGATTGCAGCGGAACGGTCTGTATAATCACTTAAAGAGATTTATCAAAATTTCACATTTCTAAACATCGCATATCATTTTCGAATATGTTCTGAATTGGATTTTAATTATTAAAAAGTAAAGCATTCTTAAAAATTATGTTTCAGAATAATAATATGAACAGTTTTTATCATATTGTATGTTTTATTTTACAATAATATATTGATAAAGTATGTATAATTTTTCAGTGGACAAGAAGGAGGTCAAAGCTGGCCATGATCCAGAAAAGGAATTAAACAACGGCTTCCAAGACGTGGGTAGAATGTACGTATTATAATATACATATTCCGAGGTTTACTGCTATTACAAACGTACACGATTGATAGATCACTCCCCTGACCTTTAATCTGAATAATAACAAATTAGCACACATACTGGCGTGTTCTTTTTTGTGAACAAAAGCTTGTTGTGGACTTCGTATTCATTAGTTATAGAATATTAACGAGGACTATCAGCGCATGGGGCGACAACAAGGGTCAATCATAGGAAATTAATCGAGACGGAACGTTTTGATAGTTTTATAAAGTAGTATATGCATGTCTTGAAACAATGCTTATATAATGATAAAAACTATGAATTGAACTTGATCATTTGAAATTTTACATCTTAATCTGAAATAAAACAAAGGTAGCTGTATAAGCATATATGGCACACATTTACCATACATAATCTTATAAAATATAATGTCTGTTTCATAATTCATAAACAATAACTTTCCTTATATTGTGTATCCCTCCTTGCAATTGAATGCCTTTACCATCAATTCTTTTATTGAATTGTTTGTAGTTGTTTGTGTTTTCCCCTTTTTTCCTCGTAGGATTTTGTTTGATACGAGCAGTACACTTTGCCGCGGGTCCTGTGTGGCTGGGTTTTATTGGGGAATGAATTCATCGAATACCGCCCTTCAATTTTGATCTTTGTTTTCATATTAGATAAACAATCTCATCATTAGTCTACTGACCAACATTTAGATGAACTGTATACATTTTAGTCAAAGTGTAAAAATATAAAAAATAATCGAAGATTTTTATCTCTGTTTCAGTGACGATGATAATGACGATCCTGATATAGAAAAGATTTCATTATCAGAAAGCGTGAAGAATTACTACGATTCTGACGACGACCCGACCGGGGAGTATGAGGGAGATCTTGATACAAGCAAATTTAACGAAGAAGGTTCGTTCATTGGTTTATATGGTGCAAAAACAGCCAAGGAGGCGACAGTATAGGGCCTTTCTCTTCATATGTGTGTCTTTAATGCAAATTATATGTAGATTTATTTAGAAAATGACATAGGTATCTGTTTCATGCTAACTTTTCTGAACCAGATGACAGAATATCGTATAAATGAGTCGATAACAATTACCCGTATGATGACACTTATTTCTTTTTGCAAGTATCAGAAAAGTTCTATCTGAAAAAGATATGTAATGCTAAGTTACTGTTTTGGCGTATAACATGACTCGGTATAAATACTATGAAATGAAATGCCTTCCTACTAAAACATAGAAAAATATTTGTCACAGAAGAACTACAACAAAGAAAAGAACCTTGTTACAATTCTCTCGTTTCTAAATGGCATTCTTAAAATTTTAAGTATTATTTAATAAAAAAAAATAGGGTTAACTGTTTTAGGTTTTTGTTTATTTATTTGGTTCAAGAACGTCTCAGTAAGGCACATGTATCAATAATGCTATCCAAAAATCCATGTATCAAAAGAAATGTCAAAATCTGGTATTTGTATTTTGCTATGCCATTTTATATATATATAAAGATTTTGATAGATGTAACATATTTTAAAGGAGTTAAACTGTGTCTGTTTTGACTCTAAAATTTTATTGTAAGTAAATTTAATACCATTCATTTAGATGGATCAGCAATCATTGAATTAACTTATATTTGAAGATGAAATGGTCGTGATGTTTAAATATATGTTTCTTTTTATATATTGTCCAAACCAGATCGTCGTCTTCGTGAACATCAGTAATGAAACATTATATGTGAGTAAGACCTTCACTGTGTGGAATGCATTCTATCGCTTTGACTAGTGTTCTATTTTTACATGATTTTGTTTCCGACAAAGATAATCATTCGCTGAAAATGCTATAACTTTGGAATACGATAAATTTATTTTTTTTACTTATGCATGCAAACATCGTATGTTCTACTACAGAATCTCTGGGAAAAAAAGAAGATTTTTTTCTTAAAAAATATGCATGTCGAAAAACTTTGTATGAATATTCATGGTTCTATAGGATTAAATGAAAAACCTAAATAGTTTTGATATTCATTAATGACTTTCGAGGGTTAAATGCTTGATCAATATTGGCAAATGCTTTTACATGTGTGTGTGCATGTGTTTGAAAGTAATGCATATTTTGTTAAACCAAATATTTTACTTTATAGTTGTGTATACTTAAAAAAGTGCAATTCAAATAGAGTTGTGTGTTAAGCATAACTCTAAAAATTATAACTTACCTGGCAATGTGTTTGTGTGTGAACGGATCTAACAGAAACATTTCGTTTTGTAAGATACTTATCTTTCTTTTCGCTTCTTTCCGTTTCTAACATGCTTTCCTAGAAAAAAAATGCATCTTTGCTTGTGAAAATGCTTTCTTGCGATTTTGTTCATCACATTTTAGAGTTTTATCATTTTCATGGCTTAATATTTGAATGTCATATATAATCGATTGTTTTGTCTTTTTGAAAATTTTGCGAGGATGTGTCTTAAATATCTGGTTTTATATAGTATTAAGAGTTAGATTACATTATCTGTAATACACAGCTACCATTGATTCAATTTCAAATAAATTGCTATGTGATGATATACTATCGTCTAAAGCAATATCATAATATTTTCTTGCAAACATTTCTTTTTTCAAGTGGCTTGGATTTTGGAAGTTTTCTTAGTTCTCTGAAATGATTTGTATATTTACACTTTTACTCTTTCTTACTAGCTTAGTCGTAGGAACAAAATTTTTTTGTTTAAACGACAACTTTGTCTTTGAAAAATCTGTTAGTCTATCATTTCCATCACCGACGACTAGTCGTTGCTTTCTTTTTATGGCTTTAACAGCATCTACCCATATAAATCATTTTCATTTGTCGAGATTGCAATTTTGGCTGTTAAGTATAGGATTGGCAAGTATAGGGTTGGCGCAAAACAATAGCTTTGAATTATTTGATGTTATATTAAATGTTTTAGACGTAAAATGTGTAGATCTGTATTCTCATATAAATGCATTTAAAATTTAATCAATTTATTACATTATACAATGTTTTATGTAACCGATTTACTATATTTCATATATTTTAAAACAGTTTTTAAATGTACGTGTATTAATCGTCCTATTCAGTTAACCGGCTCTAACCATTGCTTTTGTATTGTCGTTATATTTGTTGCTTTGAACTAGAATAATGTTTATACCCTCAGTGTATGCCTGAATTTTATTTATTTGTAAAATTGTACACTTGCGAAAGGTGATTTAATCTAGTTCATTTTTGTTTTTGTTTTATTTTAATTTTGTTGCATTGATTATTGAACGCTTTGTCAAATTTTTAACCAAGCATGTGTTTCGCTATGATAATAATATTGTATTATAATACTGTATGTAATATCATTTTTTTTTATAAAAAGCAATGTATACTAGAAATATTTTATTATTTACTGCATGTATATTGTTAGAAAATTGACAAGTTAATGTTATGCCCTCAGTGTATTAATAAGATTTTATTTGTCATTATAAAATTGTACACTTGCGAAAGGTGATTTAACCTGTTTAGATATATGTTCTTGATATGTGCGTTATATTGAATATATGTCATTATCGATATGATGTCATTTTCATTTGCCTTACTTTGTATAATTTAGAATTGCCATACATCTTCATTAAATTACCTATTTTCAATATTTTCGTGAAAAAGTGTATTACTGATATTAATTTTGTTTATTAAAATAAATGTACACTTTCGAAAGTAGTTTTAAAAACGGAAATAAACACATGTATGTTCAGTTTTTGTAAAAACGATTCTAAATCATTTTCTTAGTTTTGTTATTTGTTACGCCTCTTTTACGCTTTTTAGTAATTTCAAGATCATGAAAAATCCGTGCACCAAAAACAAAAGTTTATTTTATTCAATCATAATTATACATATTGTAAATATAGCCTTGCCAATTAAAACATTTTTTTTTCATTTGTCTTAACAAAACATATAAGCTTTGAAATTAAATCATATTTTTTGGTTATGTGGTTGTTTAAATGTTGCCAGGTTAATGTTATACCCTCAGTGTATTTTTAAGATTTTATTTATTGTAAAATTGTACACTTGCGAAAGGTGATTTAATCTGGTTGACTTTTGACCAGAGTTTATTTTGTATGATAACTAGAAGCATCTTGTTAAGTTCATTCTATACGATTCTAATAACATGAGAAAAACAGTTACAAGAGTTACAAGACAAATAGACAAAAGGACTGTAGATTTTTGCGAATGTGCGCTGTCATTTAGTACAAACAATGTATCACCATACCGATGACAATTTGACATTAAAAGATTACGGTACTTAATTGAAACATGTAGCCTTTGTGGCACTTAGGTCTATAACGTCATAAATGTTAACAAAAAAAATATGATCAACACAAAAAATTATGTTTCAAATATTATGAAAGATTTCTTATGTACTTGTACTTACTTACAATTTGTTGATAGACTAAATAAAAGATGAATAAAGATTGCTTCCATATGTACACTTTATTATTTATTTTTGCCCGGTAAATATTATTCGAAGAAGGGAAATAAAATTATGTTCAAGGATCCCTGGCAGTGATAATGGTATTGATAACGTATGTAGCCAATGTTCTTGATACATGGCAGAAGATGTTTACGCTGATGAATGAATTAAGTATATCTAATGCCCGAGAAGTAAATATTTACAGGGGTAGCTCATAACAACGTTGAAATAGTTTGTATGAGGCCCATGTTTAAGCGAAAGGAATAGCCTTTCAAGGAGAAGTTGACGGTAACTTGAGGAACAGAACAGAATGTATTGGTATAGAAACCAGAAACGGTAGAAATATGTAACATCCCACAGTTATGGTGAAGTAAAATTTCCGATATGTTCAGTGATACAGATGTTAGTCAAACTATTTGCACTTCGCGCTATTGTGTGCATGAGCAGTATCTCCCCTCTAAGCGAGCTTCTGACCCTGCCGAACGTCAATATACAATATACATGTATAAGCAATTATAATACATGTCCATGTTAGAAATTAGTTTTAAGGTGCATGTATTTATAACTAAGTTACATTCTAATACACAGAAGTGGTTTTACTGTGTAGGTTTTTTTCTGTATAAAAGCATTACGTGTTTAACCTCAAAGGGAGACTATTCCATATTAAAAACCGTCCAGAGTGCAATGCAGACTTACCTCCCTTATTAACAAGATACTTGGGAAGAACAATATTTGCTCTTTTTGCAATGACATATGTGACGTCTATGCCTAAACTGATATCATTTTGGAATGCATCATTATTAATAAACAAGAGCGATCAGAGTAGTCGTTTGCAGGGACTCCACTGCTTTTTTACGTGTTAGGACTGGGAAGATGATGTGCAATTTGATGATGGTCTGGGCCTATAACTTGTGTGCAAATTTTCAGTTCATTACCTCATTCCGTTTTCCCAGAATTAATCCGGCTAAAATAGCACAGAAAATCGATTTTCGTATATATTTCATTGTTGTCCTTTGCGGAGTTTTTCAAGATTTTCAAATTTTATGTTTTTATGCCTTTTGGACCTCAGTGGAAATCCTTTAAGCAGTAGACAAAAAAATCATTAACAGGTCAATACTTGTTTTGTTTATTATTATTATTATTATTATTATTATTATTATTATTCAAGAACCATAACACAACCAAAAATTATTCTACCGGAAAAAACGTGTAATACGCGTAAGTACTTTATGCCCCAACTAGGACCAAAAATATGAATCCGAGGTACCAATCAATCCCGAAAAGTTTCATTTAATTTGCATTAGTATTATAAGAGAAGTAGTCCAGAATAAAAAAAATCATTAAAGGGTCATAACCCATTGAACGAAAAATGCCATTGACGTGTGTAATTAGACTTGGTACTGATCTTTCCTGTAATGTTTGAATGAAATTGCACCAGTAGTTCCTGAATAGTAGTCTGGATAAGCTTCCACGTAGCTAGCAACACACACACACACACACACACACACGCACGCGCATGCGCACACACGCACACACACAACCAGGCCAAAACACCTTTTTGTTAAAAATCTTTCAAGCGGAATTAAAGGGAAAAACAAGGTTAGAATAAAAACTTGATTTCAGAAAAAGAATACTATAAATAATAAGTCTGCAAATTTTCTACCGCCAAATAATAATATTAAACGAATGATAACAAAATTTAAATCGCTAAATCACCAATTTCTACAAATCAGTAAGCGCGGCCATGTTTGTGTATTGGCCGCATAAAAACAGGTGCGCGTGATGTCATTTCCCCACATCTTTAGATTCATGATAAATGTAGTTGAATCGTAAGGAAATATTAATATAATAAAGTATTGACCAGAAAATTTAATTTTCACAGGAGGTGTAGAGGAGATTTTTTATGGTTCAAAATACGTAACAATATAAAAAAAAAATAATAATAAATAAAGAAACGTACGGCTAGCCAAAAGTTCTAGCCGTACGTGAGTCACGAACGACTAGCCAGGACGCACTGTACGTATTGTCTAGCCGTACGGCACTTTTCAAAATTATATGGAAGTCGAACGTTATAAAATTAATGATTTTCATGCTTATCATTTGTTGTTTTATTTGTATGAATTATTAAATCATTTTTATTAATTTTAAGCACATGGATCGAATAAAAATGATCAGAGTGGAATAAAAATATAAAAGGAACATTGAATGAAAAAAAAATGAAAAAAAAAACGGTGAAATGCAAAAATAATTATATAATTTTCAAAATAGTAGATAAATATCGAACATAAAAGCACAGTCAATCAATTAATAAGCCTTAATTAAAACCTAACCAGGGACTGACAATAGAATTTTAGAATGCCTTTCACGGAACATGCAAACTTTCCTTGGTGGACAAACTTCTATACAGTACCGTCGGTAATGGTCGCAATTATCAAGAGCCTTACAACAATCATTTTCAGTGTTTGTTGTTTTTTTTCTCATATAAAAGGTGTCGAAAATTAAACTTAATGAAACAAAAAAGGATTATTTTCAAAATTTTGTAAACTATTTCAATTGGTGTAAATGCAAGCAAAGGCTATTTTTTCTCGACATCTTGCGATGACAAAGATCGATATAAACACCCTACAAACACCCTGCCCATGAAACACTTTCCTTTGCTCATCTGAATGTATGTGGATGGAATGCTGCAAATCATGACTTACGATGCGCTATTGTATATGCTCAAATATGATCAAATATTAATTGCAGCAGATTTCAACGCACGAATAGGAAATCTATCTGATATTCTTGCCGAAACAGACTCAGTACCAATGAGAAGTTCGATTGATAAATGCATAAATCAACATGGCCGAGATTTCATTGACTTCTTAAACGACTCGCGATTTTGTGTATTAAATGGAAGATTTGATAAAGAAGATAATTTCACTAGTATTTCCGGTAGGGGAAAGGCCGTGGTTGACTATATTTGTGTACCACAAGATACAATACAATATTGTAACTCATTCGAAGTAATCCCCATGCAAACAATAATAGATGAAAATAACCTTCACGGATATCTGGGTCAAAGAGCGCGACTTCCAGATCACTCTGTCCTACTGAGCACGTTTTATACAAGTGAGTCAAAGCGGTTAAATTCTAACGATTTACACGGAGGTGAACGTGAAAGACAATCGAAACCTAAATACAAGCTAGACAAAATACCCCATAACTTTATGCAAAGTGAAATATCTCGAATTGCGATAAATGAAATTATTACTGCAATTCAGTCATCCAGAAAATCGCAATCAGAAATCGATGATATTAATTCAAAACTATGTACCACTATTATATCTGAAATGCAAAATACGATACCTACTGTAAAAGCTACAAATAGATCGAAAAGACGCCACAAACACTGTAAACCATATTGGAATGAGGACTTGAGTATATCATGGAAAAATATGTGTGATAAAGAGAGAGCGTTCTTAAAATGCCACGAATCTAGGTCAGTAAAGACAGCTAAAAGGGCAGATTATATCGCAGCTAGAAATCAGTTTGATAAATTACTACGACAGTGTGAACGCGCACACAGACAATCGTTCGCTGCTGATATTGAAAACATGTCAACGTCTAATCCAAACGAATTTTGGAACAAAATAAACAGTTTTGGTCCTAGAAAAAATAATACGATACCCATGCAAGTACGGGATCAGGATGGAAATATCATATGTGATGAGAAAAGTGTTTTGGAAAGATGGAAAATGGCCTTCTCAAACTTATATAATGGATGTAATAGCGATGAATTTGAACAAGGTCATTATGATCGCACTAAAATGCATAAACATTTAATTGAACTTGACATAGCCGATCCTCTCTACACATCCAACTCCCAGTTAAACCACAATATCTCAATTGAAGAAATTTCTTCCGTAGTTATGGCTACAGAATCTAAATCAGCCGCTGGCATAGACAATATACCGTACGCTGTACTGAAATTTCCACAAGTCATAAATGTGTTACACCAACTGTTTCAGCTAATATTCGATAGTGGTCTGATACCTTGTGAATGGAGAAAGGCCGTTATTTGCCCGATACTTAAAGACGCAAATTCTGATATCAGCGTTCCATTAAACTACCGCCACGGTATTAGTCTTCAAACATGCATAAGTAAACTGTACAGCTCTTTTATAAATCGACGGGTGTCTTCTTATCTAGAAGAAAATGACTGCCTAGCAGAGGAACAGAACGGATTTCGTAAAAACAGATCGTGCGAAGATCATGTGTATACACTTAACACTATTATTAAAAATAATGAAAACACTTATGCCGCATTCATTGACCTAAAAAAGGCCTTTGACTTTGTAGATAGAGACATGCTTCTGTATAAACTCCTGCGGCTGTATAAACTCCTGCGGTCGGGCTTAGACGGAAAAATTTACACTGCAATAAAATCAATGTACGAACAAACAGTTTCATGTGTACGTATCAACAATATAATGACTCAGTGGTTCGACTGTAAAAAAGGCGTGGTTCAGGGAAATTCGCTGTCGCCAACACTTTTTGCCGTTTTCATAAACGATTTAGTAGCAGAAATAAATTCCCTTGATCTTGTGTTTCAATAGGAGGAACAAAAAATCTCACTTCTTCTTTACGCTGATGATATTGTCTTTACGGCACAAAATAGTGACGACTTGCAAACTATGTTAAATACTTTACACACTTGGTGTAAAAAGTGGAGGGTACTTATCAACTCATCGAAATCTAAATGTATTCATTTTCGTAAAGGTAGACGTACAAGGTCAGATTTTAGTTTCCATATAGGCAATAACACCTTGGAACTGTTAGTGAATATAAATACCTAGGTGTAATCTTTAGCGAAAATAAAGACTATATCGCACACAGTCAAACACTGAGTAAGGCGGCAGGCAGGGCTTTAGGGGGAGTTATTAACAAAATACATTCGAAAGGTTTTGGTTTTAAATCATTCGAAAAATTGTTCTACAATTGTGTGGTGCCAGTGCTAGATTATTGTTCAAGTGTATGGGGATACAAAGAATATCAAACATTAGACAGTGTGCAAAATAGAGCTGTAAGATACTTTTTAGGATTACACAGATTCGCACCTGTAGCGGCCATTACAGGGGATATCGGGTGGTTACCAAGCAAATTCAGAAGGTGGATAAATATGCTACGCTATTGGAATAAATTAATGAACATGGACGACCAAAGACTACCTAAAAAAGTTTTCACTGCAGACTATAATATATGCCAAAGTAATTGGTCTAACGATATTAAACAAATAATGATATCGTTTGGGTCTCAGTACCTATTTTACAGAAAAGAGACCAGTTGATTTAAAACTAGCAAATGAAAAAATATTAAGTCTGTTTAACGAACAATGGTATACCTCTGTACAAAATAGCCCAAAACTACGAAACATATAAACTATTTAAAACAAATTTTAAAACCGAACAATACATAGTATAAAATTTAGAGAAGAATGAACGCTCGATGTTAGCACAGTTTCGGTGTGGGATTTTACCCTTAAGAGTAGAAACAGGACGTTTTATTGGTGAAAATGTAAACCAGAGAATATGTACATTCTGTGACCAAGAACAAATAGAAAATGTAAACTCATTTTCTCGTAAGAATGCACAAATATGAAATATAAGACAGGCAAGTGTTCGGGGATTTATTGTCAGATCCATCCTATATTAATAAAAATAAAGAAGATAGACTGAACTTTTTAGTAAAATGAAAATGCTAGATAAAACAGCAAAATATATTGTGAAAGCTTTATTTTAGACGAAGCCTCTTATATACTCCTAGCGATTTGCACAGAACGTTATATAGTGTGTATCACTTATATTTAATGCCAATCATTACTCATAATCTAATTGATTAATTTACTTGATAATTATTAAAGTGAAAATATACTATTCTATGTACATCGTCCATATATTTGAAATTGACTTGTACTATTATGTTAATATTTGAGAACTATAACATAGATACTGTATTAAAATGTCAACACAGTGACTAATAGGCCATGAGGCCGGGTGTTTTAAATACCTACATTTAAATATTTGTATATGATTATATTGTAAATAACAAATGTCACTTTAATAAACAATTTACCTATTTACCTATATATAGCGATCTAGGCGATAAATCTCAAAAAAGTTAACATCCAAAGACAATTAATGCTTTTTCTTGGTTAAAATCCGCTTATAGTCATAACATATGCATTTTCGACTTCCATAAAATTTTGAAAAGTGCCGTACGGCTAGCCAATACAGCGTGTCCTTGCTAGTCGTACGTGACTCACGTACGGCTAAAACTTTTGGCTAGCCGTACGGGCCCGTACGATAGCCACTTCCATTATAAAAACCCTACTAAAACGTGTTCTTAATAGTACATATAATTAAATTTTTGCAGTTTGATTCTGACTTACAAATTTAAATTTGTGAACATATGTTATAATTGATGTACACATTTCAAAAATATAAGCAAATCTTTTGAAAAGTAAATTGTTAACATGTCTGTCAACGTATGATGCTGCGCATCGTAATCGTAGCCTTATATTAACTGCAGGCAAATCATTTTTATTGGCTGCTCAAAAATCTAATTTGCATAATTTATTCACACAATTGCTGGTTCTTACTACTTATGTCTAATACTGCGCATTGTCCATTTTAATTGTTCCTAATTTGAACCAAATGTTCCTGTCACACACTGTGTACTGACGATTTTTATTGCTCCTTGTATGCCTCTGTGCCGACAGACCTTTTGATCATGCACAATGTTGCCTTGATTGGTTAATCACCCTTGTCAAATATTCTAATGACAAAATAGACATCTATTTTTTTACGCTTCATCAGTGAACTGAATGACCTTAGGGGGAATTAGGTTCCACACCTGTCAAATTATGCTGTAGTAAATTACAGCACGTCATAAAATAGCAACACATTTTTTTCAGTTACCAATAATCATTTTAAATATTAAGTAGATTTATGATTTTTTTTTTGTTTTATTGGATTAAATTTACGGTAGTAGAAATGCATATCTGTCGGGGAAAGGAATTTGGTAAGTAGATAACGTGGAAAAGCTTTAGGGAACTGGATAAACCCGAGAATATGCGTAATTATAGGGGAATGGGCAACCTGTTGCTGTTGATACCAGTTTTGACTGGGTGCCTAAATAACCTAACGGACAGTTTTGTTTTCATACGATATTAGTCTGGCTGCCGATTTTCCTGCGCTTTTCTCATTTTTAGCGTCAATGGCGGAAAATCGCGTCCTCAGCAGACTGGATTTAGTTGATATTTTACCTGAAAAAAAGATACAAGCCCGGCGATGTACCCTATTTGGACAGTTTGTCTAGCGAAAATTAAGTACAAAATAAAAGGATATATCGTCAATTTGAAGAAGTTTCTCATAGAACCCAAATTAAATTTATGGTTTATCTTTGAAAATTAAGCAGTCATAGCTTAAATCATATGGTGGGATCATCAGCAAGCATGAATATCGGACAAATGATAATTAATGTCGCGGCGTCTTCAATTAATTAATTTAAGCAATTCAGTTCCATATGATGTTTTCATAAATAATATATAATGAACGCAATAAAATTAATAAGTTCTTCATCAAGATATATTTCAGTTGTACCAGCGTGTACGCCTATACCGGAAGTGGGTATAACACGTCACAATCTCGGTATCGTCTGTCTCGCGAGAATGACAGAACGCCAAAATGGCGGCGCCCATGAACTTATTTCTCAAGTAAAAAATGGTGTCTTAAAACTCGAATTTCTCTCTTATAGGGATGATGTCAATAGCAAAACTGTCATGGTTCCTCTTTTTAAATGATGAATATTTATATTAGGCAGACATCAGTCCATCCATTCCTATTCCTTTAACTATGCACATCAACTATGGGCTACTGATCAATATTAAAATTGCATAAGTTGTAAATAAATCATTAAAGGCCCCTAATGTGTATGATATACACAACTACATTTGTATCCCGGCACTAAGCATTCATGTAAAGATGTGATGAAATTGCACCAGAAGTGTTTGAGAAGTAGTCCGGGTAAGTTTTGTTACAGACAGACAGATAGACTGACAGGCAGATAGACTGACAGACGACGGAAAAGTGATCCTTCTTTAGCAGGCAACACTAAATTGGACATTAATATTCCTGTGGGTTGTGATACTGAATTTTGTTTTGTTGCACACAAGTAACGAGAGTAGAACCATTAAGCTCATGTTCAATTGCTTGACAATATCATCAAATGAAAATGATATCAGCCGTTTTTACAAACCATTTGTCACTCATTAGAGATTCAGTGACTAATAACTTGGTCGTACAATCACAATTATGCATATTTTAGCAGGATTGGAGCCAAACAGATTCGCCATTTACTGTGAACAAACCTGCCTTGCCTCATTTAATTAATTTATTAAATACGAAAAATTTTTAGAACAAATTGGCCACATCTAAAAGAAGTTTGAAGGTAAATTGTTCAAATATGCTACATCAGTGGCTTTTTGAAAAAAAATGCAGATATACAGTTTGGATTTAACAGCAAATCATACCTCAGACATTGATACATTCTTTGGAAAGGTTCAATATGTGTTTAATAATGCTTTTACAATGGAAATAAGTATTAGTTGTAGAATCATGCACGGTTTACATTAAATTACTGAAGAAAGTAATTATAGTTGTAAAGATAGTAAAATTTAAATAAAGTAGTATTTTCACTTCGGCACAAAATACCAAATCACATAACTATACATATTGCCAAAGTGCAAAGGATAGCTCACCTATATGGTCGATAATTAACTTTTGAAAACTGTAACAAGATACCAAAGTAAAAAGGTTTTGAGAAATAAAAAAGCATTGGGTATTTAATTATTTGTATGATGATTGGTTATCAGACCCTGAAGGAAGGTCTCTCTGATTGATGATTGTATATTGAATGATCTAATGATCAACCAACTTATTGATTTACTGATTGATTGGACATGTCATGGAGCTTAATGTAGATGGAGAAGAAACTGAGACGTCACACAGTTAAATTCAGTAACATAATTATATGTAGTCAAATATAATCGCTTTTGTTTTGAAAAGATGAATTTATGTTCTCTATTACATTTATTTGAAAAGTTGAACTTTTACAAAAGTTGACCTAACTGAAACATAACGTAAAGTCAATAGAGGAAATCAAGTATGAGCAAATCAACAAAATGTATTAAAAAAAGAAAAACGGACAATATGCAAGAAATTAAACAATCTCATTAAAATCATATTCTAACTGACGCTCAGCTACCTTTCGCTGTAGTGAAATCGAAAACCAGTAGGCTTCAAGATAGAATTCGTAAAATGAGCAAAGAAATCTTCGCCAGATGACAATTATTGTTCTTTTTGTGGTATTGTGTAAAATACGAAATGACAGAATGAAAGACGTTGCATACCTCGTGTGAATTTCTGATATTTAAGCGGTTATAGTTTACTTAATCTTTTATTATTTTTATTACATAGTCCTGTGGTCATACAAGCTTCTTTCACTGCACAACACGATGTCTAATATTAATGTGTTATTCGACTAATATTGGACTTAC